ACCACATTTTTAAATATGGTTACTAGGGCCGGCTCCAGGGTTTTGGCCGCCCCAAGCAGCCAAAAACCAAAAAAAAAAAAAAAAGACTGCGGCCGCGATCACGATCTGCGGCGGCAATTCGGCGGGAGGTCCTTCACTCCGAGCTGGAGTGAGGGACCGTCCGCCGAATTGCCGCCGAATACCTGGACCTGCCGCCCCTCTCCCAAGCGGCCGCCCCAAGCACCTGCTTGAGAAGCTGGTGCCTGGAGCCGGCCCTGATGGTTACCCCTTGGCCCAAGCAGTTGGGCAGTATTCACGGCCTTGTTGGGTTGTTTCCATTAGGAGAAGAGATTGATTATACAAATTTGGGGGTGGTTTTTGTGTGTGTATTTTTGTTTATTTACAAAGAAAATACAAAGTCCTGTTTCCCTGAAAAAGTATAAATTGATTTCTTGCTCAGAAATCAAAGTCTGCCTTTTCAGTGAGCACTCTGCCCAAAATAAACTCTTCCTCCCAGGGCCATGCACTGCTGCATCTCCTGTTGTCTGCTGATTTTCTCCTTGATATTTGTTTCCTTTCCCACAGGGACACTGCTGCAACCAACCAAAGGTGCAGTCCTTACATGTGTAATCAGAGAAAACTCTTAAATCACATGGCTTTGCCTCTGCTCAGGCCTCACCATGCTGGCCTGTGCCTTGGGCGGTGGCTTCTATTGTTTCAGCTATCACTAAGCCGCCACTGACTTTTACCAGATCTGATCGATGGCTGTTAGTAACCGCTTCAGCTTACTGTACACTTCTAGAATGGCAGTGCTATTTTTCCCATCTGTACTCTAGTCTGTTTCAAGTATCTAAGCTTGAAAACCTGTTTTCAAGAGACAAATTTTTAAGTGTCCCTTAGATTATAGAACAGACCAATTTAGTGTGCTTGAAAACAGAAGCTCTATGATGTGGATCAAACTTTGACATGAGACCAGGAACTTCCATTCTCTGAAAACCTAAGCACCTTGGCCTCCTACAGAGAAGGACTATAGCATAATCCAATGAATCACAGAATATCAGGGTTGGAAGGGACCTCAGGAGATCATCTAGTCCAAACCCCTGCTCAAAGCAGGACCAATCCCTAAGTGGCCCCCTCAAGGATTGAACTCACAACCCTGGGTTTAGCAGGCCAATGCTCAAACCCCTGAGCTATCCCTCCCTCCCTTTTTTGACATTTCAAAAGGTATCTATGGCTGCCACAGAGAGGCAGGACTTTTGTGGGGTGCTGCAGACTGAGCTAAAGTACAAGTGATAGCTATATTTATGTACTCAAAAACAATTACCAATAAGTTGAATGAGTTGAGTAGTTAAGATCATAAGTCACTTAAAAAACAACAACAACAACAACCAACAGTAGTTGGGTGACTTACTGCCTACTAAATTTGCGAGAGATGAATCAAGATCACTTCCAAGGCCTTTGCTTGCTGCTGAAGCTGTAGCAGCTGAAGCTGCTACAGACTGACCAGATGGAATCATAGTTGGCATAAGAAGATCACCTAAACCATCAAACACTAGAATTTAAAGGAGACAGTAGATTAGGATAGTAACCTTTACTGTAATATTCCTTTAAGTAACACCACTGCATAGAACCTTTAGTATTACTCAACAAATGATCATAGCACAGACAATCACTACACCGGTATTACCAATATGTAATTTCACATGAAAGAATGCCGACACGGCATGCATGGTATTTTACTAACACACTGAAATGTAGAATTACCCTGAAATAAAAATATACTAATGAAGACTCGAACAATACATGCCTAAATGGTTGCAAATGCATCCTTAAACCTGGTAACAAACTTAAAAATCCCAGAACATTGCCTCTCCACGTATACACGTTTGCAAAGGGGTTTAGAAAAGCTATGTCAAAAAAATTTTTTATAGACGTACAAGTTACTGTAGTAGGAGAGCCAGGAAGACAAAGGATTTTAAAATGTTTTAACCGATAACAGGTTTCTCTAACATATCAATTAAAGGGATCAACAGGGATATAACTGGTACTTTTCATCCACACTGACAGATCTAACTTCCCCAGAGCAGATGTGCGCTTCAGGAGTCAGGTTTACATATCATAACTCAAACTGCTTCTCTGTTGCCTGGTTAGCCCACTATTATTTTTAGTAACCTATATTACTTTATTTCACCACAGTAAATATTCTGATCCACATCTGATGTGCATGCTAATGTTATTTCAACAGGCAAGTGTAGCATATTATGCACTGGCAAGCAACTAAAATAATCAAGCAACAGTACTACTCAGATTTCTCTCTTACTCATTTAGTTGCAGAACTCACCAATCGTAAATTTGTAGCAAGGACCCAGCATGGAAAGTGTAGAATGGAAGAGATACAAACAAAATGACAGCAGTGATGAAAAGTTAAGCTTTATGTCAAGCAAAGAACACTATCTTGATCTCAGTTTTGTGTAACCCTGGGTGCCATGCAAACTTAAGGGCTTCAGCAACAGCAGCAAGATCACATGCCTATACACTGAATATACAGTGCAAAGTGTTTGTGTTTTTCCTCTGATAACTCCTAACAGTCATGCAGAGAAGCACGTGCAAAGAGATGACATCACACTTCTACTTGGTTTCTGCTTAAAAATTGAGAAAAGGTAATGGGAACAAGGAAAGATTTCCTAGAATTATCCCCACTGCTGGTGAATGCTTATGGTACTAACTGGTATTTTCTCTTTCAGTTGAATAAGTGATGGGAAACACCGATACCCATGAGAATTATTTTTATATCCTTTGTATTAAGAGCAGTAATAATTGTATCATTTATGTTACTGTTGAATGAACACATTTGTTCTGAAGATACACAAGGGAAACCCTTCCCTCACCTGATGGATCAAATGAGCTGCCACCACTTGATGGTGATGTTCCAAAAGCTGCTTCAAAGTTGGGCTGTAATAAGGTGGCTTGAGCTGGAGTAACTGGTGATGGTGATGGAGAGGGAGCAATGAAAGAACCTCCAAAGCCTTTAAAAAAAAATTACATTAAACAAGATCAGATGCACCCAGATGGAATCACAAAATAAAAGCCTTGACATACTTACTGTTCTTAAAGCCATAACATAATAGTTGCTCTATCATTATGCTTTCTGATATTAGATAATAAGCATCTCTTGATGTAATGCAAAGTATTCTAATAAAAATCACTCTAAAACCAGCTAAAGGAAGATATACTGTAACTGACAAGTTCTGGGTTGCAAAAATCGTAAGATTGCATTGTAAACCTAATTTGTAACTTCACCCACAAATGAAATGCAGTCACCTCTGGGATAGAGCACAGCAGTTTAATAGCACATTCAGTGCACAATGTAAGATAGATATTAAATACACCTTACTCAATTATAATGATAGGGATAATCTATGTAGGCAGAATGCAGTTACTGGGATTTGGTCAGGACACTGGGGTTAGCTCTTAAGGAAAGTGTACCATGAGTTGTTTAATGACCCTGACTTGAATAGCCAGGAATGCCAACAGTACCTCTTAATTTCATATTAATTAAATACTGACTGCATATTGATTCACCAACCAAGCAAATGAATCACCATCACTACTTCCTACAGCACATGGGACTCCTTTGCACCTCTCCCAATTGCTTATCTAACCTGACCCTCAATTTCATTGATGTCTATTAATGGTACCACTTTCCTGTACATGTCTGGGCTTTTAAGTTGTCTCCAACTATAATTTTAGATTTTTGAAGTACTATAAAATATTGTAAATAAGAAAAATATGATTTTAGAGATTCATTTCTACAGCATTTTTCCCACTGACTCCTTGATTTAAATTTTCCTCTTGTTAAAAAACAAGAAATGTTTTCCCTGAAAAATTGAAATAAAAGCAATAATCCACCACATTTCTCTCTAAAAGTAGTTCTGTGCCAATGTAACATGAGTTGAGTAGTTCTGTCTGCCAGCAAGATATGGATTGATAGTTATGGCTTGTTTTTCAGAGGTGTGAAACACCCAAAAATCTCAATGAAATTAACAGAAGCTGCAGGTGCTTAGCAACTTTGGGAGACCAACCAGTGTAGATTTTAGTCACAAGGTCCATTTTCAAGTAGAATAGTCAGCAATGTACAATACTGTATTTTCTTGTTGCACTAATTTCAGGTTGTCAGGATTCTGGTTGCATTGGTTGAGGACACAGCATATATTAGGGTTTAGTGATGCCACAAAGAATGAAAATCAGAACCTTGAAGTCATCTTGTGAAAAGAGTGAAGGAGGAACTGACTTAACTGTTAAGATTTGTAGTGTACACATTATGCTAAATGCTTAAAGATACCAAATCTATTAACATTTTTAAAACAACAACACATGGCAACTGATGTACTTTAGGGAGATTATGGCAGATCAAACACTGACATTTTATCCACTTGCAAATTGTAATATGTACCTTCAAATGTCAGACTACTGTCATAAGGAAGAAGACAGCCAGACCTGTATGTTTGGAGAACACTGGACAAGTTGACTACCTTCAATTTAAATAATTAATACTTCTTAAAAAGTGTTAAAATTTAGGAAGTTAAAAAAAACCCTCACCAAAAGTTATTGTAAAACAGTAATATACATTATGTTTCTCATAGCAGTTTAACCCCAAATCAAACTTTTGCCCCAAGCTTTTGAAGAAGCACATCACGTTCCCAAAGAATACTTCATTAGCCCACTATTCTAGGAATAGTAGCTTTGGAATGATCCTGACACCATTTTCTAGAATATGAATGCACTAATAGATTACTGAGAAGTGATACAGTAATGTTGATTAACTGCAATCAGCCACTCTCAGCAATCATGTGATACTGGTAACCGAAAAACATAACCTGGCAGGAGTCATGCCTTTCTAAAAGATCCCGATGAGTCACAATGGGTAGCTACTTCTCCTTCCCAAGGATTTGGGTAAGAATGGTGACAAAGTCAAACCCTACTTGCAACTACGCCTAGTAGATGCACAACAGCATAATTTGAATTAAACTGAAACAGGTGCAGAGAAGGGCTACTAGGATGATCAGGCGAATGGAGAGCCTATCTTACGAGAGGAGACTAAAAGAGCTTAGCTTGTTTAACCTAGAAAAACCAAGGCTGAAAAGGGATGAGACTTCTCTCTATGAATACATCAGAAAGATATACACCAGAGAGGGAGGAAGAGTTATTTAAGCTGAAGAACAATATTGGCACAAGAACAAATGGGTATAAATAGCCCAATAATAAATTTAGGCTGGAAAATAGAAGAATGTTTCTAATCAGAGGAGTGAGGTTTTGGACCAACCTTACGACAGGAATTGTGAGGGCAAATGACCTAACTAGTTTTAAGATGGAGCCTGACAAATTTATGACTGGGACTACATGATGAGGTTATCTGTGATAGCAGGAGACTGGACTCTTTGACCCACAAGGTCCCTTCCAGACTATGGTGCAACAAGGATTATCATGCCAGCAGCATGATGTTCCAAGTGTTTTTCAATCACAGAAGACACTATATTCCAGTTATCTCCAGATAAAGAGGAGCTGGAACGTGGCATAACAGCCTGCCTGTTCAAAGCGTATCTAGGAAAGACTGAATCAATGCTAGTTGGATAAGGAACACCACTATTTCATCCTTGATGAAGACCCCTGATTTCTAGTAATTAAAACAGCTGCAGTCTTGGTTATGCTAGACTCACTGACCGTGGACACCTGGTTAATTAGTGCCCTTCCATCTCAAGTTAGACTGACAATTCCTGGACAGAGCTGAGAGTGACCAGTCCACAGAAGTTAGAGAATTGCAATTAATGTGATCTAGAGCTGCCAAATGCTCTATCTGGGGCCCTGATAAGGTAATTAGGAACTAGACAATTAAGTAGCCCATATAAATGGCTAAAGAAAGAATATCACTTTTCCAGAACCTGAACTGACTTCCCTTTGTTAGCAGATCCACTTGAGGGTTCTGCTAGGACAAAGACTTGAATTACCCCCATTATCTCAAACTGCCTCTTTTTCAAGGGACCCATACCAGCTGCAGTCATTGGACTCACTAAGATTTAGAGCCCAGACAAAATTATGAGGGAGATGAGCTGCCTTTACAGCATCCCATAGGCTCTCAAACATTGTCCTGAAGGAAACATGTCAACTTCAGATCCCTCTGCACTTTCACTAAAACATTCAAAAACCTTGAGGACAAGCCTTCAAGAACTATGAGAAATCAAGAGGATTTTAAATTTAGAATTGGATTATGCTGCAGGTTATACATCTGCCATTATCTGAGGCAAACAAATGCTTAGCAATATGCTGTTATGGTTTAACAGAGCTTTTGTATCTGCCAAATTGTTATTCAAACCCCACTGGTATCCATTTTGGATTTCAAACGTAGAAGCTCTGTAAGCAGGAAAAAAAAATAGTAAGTGAGGCTGTTGGAATTTTACCTCTCTTCACAGACATGTCAACATGTGGATCCAGAAACACTGAAATAATAAAGCTTCAAGGCAGGATCACATACCTCAATGCAGGGTAGGATGGGCAACTGTGGGTTTGATGAATTCTAACTAAGCCTCAGTTATCCCCAAAACAGGTTCACGTCCTCCATCCTTTATACACTGAAATGTTGATTTAATACAAACTTCAATTTTTTTCACCCCCCCCACACCAATACAATGGAAAACTGAATATATTTTGAAGGCTCCAATTACTAATGAGTATGCAAAATATTCAAGGAATTTCTATATTCCTAGATAGACCACATTTTCATGCTGAAATTGCATTTTTGGGAGTAAAATTGCTTTCAGCCTGAATACACAAGATTGTGATTTGATGTTTTCAAACAGATTAACACTTTCCAAATTTCACCACATGGAGACTGGTGAAAATCGGTTGCTAAATTTGCTTTAACATTTTCTGCAATTTTACATATTCCTACAAGTAACCAACACTGTTCTCATTCATGAAATTGGCTACAGATACTCCTATAAAATTGTCATTTAAGAAACTTAGCAAAAAGAGAGACTCTAAATTAGAAGGCAAGGACTGTCTTTACTGATGGCTCCTGGTTTATCCACATACCCAGCTTCAAGCAGCTGTTTTGGAACCAGTATATGTAATCATTTATGGAACAGGCACTTACTTTCTTGTCATGCAACAAAGTTTTCCATGCATATGTTTAGATGCTGTTGGGAGATGTGTTCTCCTTTGGATTTACCCCAAAAGAAATTCAGCACTTGCAAAATAAAAATGGTCATTCCTATCTTTTATAGGATAGCTTCCCTATTTAAGGACTTATTGCATGAAGGGGACCATATAAGAATGTGGATGAGGAAAAAAACCTAATCCATATTGACCAGCTGAGAAAGATTTAAGCCACCTTACTTTAAAGATGACAGTATGCAAGTATTTAAGGGACAAATATTCCTTAACAAATAGGGCCAAATAGTTCATAAGTGCTGGAACAGTTTTTATAGTTGGGAGTGCTGAAAGCGATTCAACAAAACTGAAAACTTTGTATATACAATGGAAACCACTTCAAACGAGGGAGTGCTGCTGTACCCCAAGCACCCATGAAGTAGTTACCTGAAAGGCAGCAAGGAAAGATTTTCACTTTAATTCTGAATTAAGAGCCCATATATATGAGAGGGATTTAAAAAGGGAGTACAGTATTAGAAAAGCAGCAACATGTTCAATCTGCTAACTCAAGGGAGAAGAGATAACACCTTTAGTTACTGGACTTGCCAAATTCATTTTCTAGATGAACCAAAGTCACAGTGAGTTAGTGACTATTCTTTGGCATTTAGAAATATATAAATACATTTCCTGAAACTAGAGGAAAACTGGCTAGGAACTTTTTCCACCACTAATTTAGTGGCCTTTTTGGTTTGGTGTAGAACAGGTAGCTTGTGTTATCTGAGCCAGTATATGCCATCACATCAGGTTTGGTAGCATAAAAAGGTAATACTTCCAAGTTGGTCATTGCCTAATGTAAGTCAATAAAAAGGGTACTGCTCACAAAGTTGGCACATGGTAAACACCAAAGAAGAAAGCCAAATACTTAGTGGTGGAAGAAGGAGGCTGTAGAACATGGATATTTCTGGTTGATATGCATTTATTTTTACTGGAAGAAAAGCAAAAAAAAGAGTGTCATACTTGTCCCCCAGAAGGAGTAGTGGGTTACATGTACACTTGGCAACAAAGCTTCAAGGAATCAGACTGACATGAGGCAGTCATCTTAAACTTGAAAATGAGCACAACATCCTCAGTTTTGATTTGGTGCCATACTCAGCACAGTTCAGGTTTTTACAATCCCTTCTGATATGAAGAGTGACAAACACTTTGAATACTGAGGGTGTTATGCTGCTCCTCTGTAATAGTGTCCTTTGTCCCAGTTCTTCTTACTGAGGGATACTATGAGTTTACTTTCCACACAGTTTGGATCAATTAAATCAGAAGAAAATAACTTTTCATCCTACTTTCCATGGAACATCTAAAAACTAAAATTATGCAATGATATTGCAGCCATCACTTAGAAGTTAACTTATTAGCTATAATCTGCAGCACAAGTAGTACAGTAGGACCACTTTGATCAGTAACCCAAAACTGTGCAATGTAAAGGTATTTTAATATAATTCAAGTAGAGATGCCTTTGCAGTAAAAGATTTAAATTCAAATGAGTTTATATTGTTTGATTTAACAGAAGCATAGCAGTACCACATAATAGTTGTGAGGTTCTGATCACCTCACTAAATCTTCAGTTTATATTAATTTTGAGAGCTGCTCATTTAGATATTTTCATTGTTTAAGATATTTGTATCACATTTGACCTTATCCTGATGATGCATGGTTTGGATTCTTTTTTCTCGATGCAAAGTTTTTGGACAGAACTTTATTAAGTCTAGTACAGTACTGAACATATTTAGTTCAATAGATCATTCTCCCAAAACTGCTAACAGCAGTTATCCTCTGCTTCTCAGTTAGCCAAAATGTAAAATGGGATAAGTGATGTTTGCAAGGATTAGTTAACATACCTTCAGAGCTTTGAAAATAATGTTATCTAAATATTGTCAGAAATTAAATAGACTACAAGTGATGATACTTCCATTTGTTAAAGAAAGCTTGTACAGCTGCAAAGATACAGGACAAGTGTTTAGCATGGAGAGGTTTAATAACACTGACAAGCAGTTATACCCCAAAGTTATCAAAATTGTAACTAGTCTAGAGCAAATTTACTTCTATAATCAACTCTTGTTTCCTGGAACTAAAGTTATCCTGTTTACTTGCATAGCAACACAAATATGCATGGGACCGTACAATAGATATAATACCTATTTCCAACCCTGAAGTAAAACCTAAAGGAAGAACCAACAGGAGGAGATTAGGAGAAATAAGGAGAGGGAAGTAGGGTTAGGAAAAGGGAAGAATAAGAGGATGAGAACAATATGATAATGCAGTCACTTAGGAGGAGATGTGTCATGAAAGTAGTAAGATGTTATACACAGCTTTATTTAAGCTACTTAAGAATGTTTAATACTATGAAATCTTTGCTGCTGTCCAACAACATTTATAGTTTACTCCACTGCAAAATGAAGGTTCATTTTGAAATAAAATAGGAGTGTGACCTAAAAAAAAAAAAAAATACCAAAAAAACACTCTTCCACAATGAAGTACATAAATTTTATTTAAATTTGTATTTATTACCAGCCAGTAAGTCTGCAGAAGCTGAGGAACTAGAAGCTGTCTGGGTTGCAGGTTGGGGTTCAGAAGCACTACTTCCAAAAGCATCTACAGGGTAAATTCCACAATGCAGCAAGAAAGGCAAAAAAAGTTTAACATAAATACTCTGATTCATTATTGCTATGTAAAGAATGCATGAATAGCAGTAGTATGACAACTTCATTCACCAGGCAGAATTACAGAACGAGGAGCAAACATGTTTGGGAACCTCAGACAGAATTGCAGAAAAAGTGGTTTTGATTGCATATAGTCAAGGTGGAGAAATAAGGCAATGAGCCAACACTTTTTAAAAAAGATATTTTTATATGGGAAATACAAGTGATTTTTTTTGACCAACACTTCACCTGTGAGGCTTGTAAAACTAGTGGGTTTTTCCAATAGGAGACCAACTATATTTACAGTGTTATTTTTGACTTGAGTTAAGCCATTTACACAGATCCACATAATGGATTAAATAAAAGGCAATGATAACTCCAGCTAAAAGTATATAGAGCTGAAAGTGCTCTTTAACAACTTACAAGCCTGTCATTTTAGTTGACTGTTTCATTGAAGTTTAGAAATAGCTTCATAATACATGAAACAGAAATTCTGTGGTGTTGGCATATACAGATAAAGTCTTATAAAAGCTAAGAGTTGGCTATGCCTATCCTAACTTCCACCATTTCAGATCAATTCGATATAATCTAGTAGAATTCACATTTACCAATTTGTTTTAGTTTATATACCAATTCCAGCTGCTTACAGAAGTTGAGCTGCTCAGAGAAACATCAACAGAAGATGAAAAGATACAGCTACATATAATGTATTTTGAGTGAAAACTCAAATACTTGATCAAGAAAGATAACCCATGCACTGAATAGAGATGATAGAATGGTAAATACAATGAGGATGGATGATGTAATAGAAGTGTTGCAACCATTTATTTGCAGTTTAAGTTTTATTGAGTTTTTGGATAGGAAGACTTCAATACATACAAAGCTGTTCAGCTGCAACGCTGCATAAGCTAAATTGTGAAAAGAGGAAATTGCAACTGCCAACATGAAAACAGCGTAGATGTATTTGAAATGAAGTGATTTAACTTGCAAGTGGTGAGGAAGGAGAAATACCCACCACCAAATAGGTCAATCACACCTGAAGAATCCACTTTTGCTGGAGAGGCAACGGGTAGAGGAGATGGTGCTGCAAATGCATCCACTGCAGTAGGCATATGACAGATAATATTTAGTATCAGCAAGTTAATAGCAATGATAACTAAATATTTTGAAATCCACACTTAGACTCCACCAGTTAGCACCACAGGACTTGTACATTAGTTGAGATACCAATCTACAACACTGCAATCAGAAAGTTATGTGAAGTTTTGCATATATTAGTTTTTAAAAACCCCGTTTATGATTAAGACAGCTTTATTGTGCACAGTGTAGCACTTATTTTCTGAAAAATTAAGGCTATACATACATGTCATCTACTACCAGTATTGATAACTTCAGTGGAGTTGGCAAACTGAACGTTAGCTGACACTAAATCTGAAGTTTTATTTTTAAGACATGTTTGTCTATTGGGACCATTAGAAAATATTCTTCAGGAATAACACGCATCACAATTTATCATTGAAACATTTGAGCTATTATAGATTGAGAATCCCCTTTCAAATCCCTAAGTATGAATCAATCATTTATTTTTACTTGGGAAAAGACTGAAAATCTGTAGTGTCCTGTGAAACAAGCACTCACCAGATAAGAGATCAGCAGTGAGAGAACTCTCAGGCACAGGAGAAGTTCCATGTGGTGGAGATGAAAAAGCATCTTCCAGAAGTAAAAGAAAAACCAAGTAGAAGTAAGTACTGTGTTTAAATCAAAGTCAGCTTATGCTGTAACAGTGTCAAATGAGAGGACATTTAAGGGAAAAAACAAACAAACAAAACCACTACATTGTGGGAAAGGATCTTTTTATCTTTACCTGTACCAAACAGGTCTATGTTAGGAGTAGCATCTGGTTTAGGCGCTGCGGGAGCATCAGGAGCAGACTCAAATAAATCTAAGACCAAGAATATACAGGTCTAACTCATTTTGGAAGACAGGACTGAAAGCAGTAACTTTTCAGTTTTGCACATCGTATTTGGAGAATTTTAAAAGACTGGCTCTTTGCCTGTAAAGAACCTTCTAATATACAGTATACATGCAATAATGATAGTGTATGCTGTACATTTATTTGACAAACCAGAGTTCAATCCACCAGAATCAAAGACTTAAAAACAATTACCACCAAAGATATCTAGAGCAGGAGGAGCGGAAGTGGTGGTAGTGGTGGTGGCGGATGTGGTGGCTGTGGTGGTAGTGGTTGTTGCTGTAGCAGCAGTAGCAGTGGCAGCAGTGGCAGCTGGAGAAGGAGTAGTTGCGGGAGCTGGAGTAGCTGCACTAGTAGGGGTAACTACAGGAACACTGGTCTCAGTTGGCTTCATAGCAAAGAGGTCCAGCTCGGGAGCAGCCTCTGCACTACCTTCAGATGGGGCAAAGGGGTCTTGTAAAAAGGAAAGCGGAGAATATATATATATAGGATCAGTAAGGGAGGAAATTAGCAAAAATCAAGCATAACTATGGGTAACATACATACACAGCAGATACACACAATGACTAGGCTATTGACTTCTCTGTAACATCTATCCTACTGATCTGGGAAAGCTATGCAGCAGTTTTTCTAAAATAAAGTATTTTATAAAAGGTGGAAAGTTTGGGGAATAGAACGCAAAGTTTTTTTTTTTTTTGAAAGGTTGGTTTGGCAAGATTGAAATGCAGCAGATGAAGATAACGGAAGAAAACAGGTTAGGCTCCAAAACATTAACAGGATATTAAACTTGTTGCTGCTTACAACACTCAGCATTGTCAAAATTATTCAGTAGTGCTACTGAATAAATGTACGGAGAAAGGATACTGGCTTTGACAGAAGACACATGCAGTTATGTGAAGAATGCTCTTCTGTCTCAAAGTTCTATGCTTTTCATCAACTACAATGAATACTATGTACTGAGGGGGAAAAAAAGATTGACGGATAATTTCAGAAAAAAACCACACTGCCATGTAGTTTAATACTACAACACACACAAGAGACTAATGACATAAAACCCACCATTTCCTGAACATGCATCAAGAGCTGCTGCTACAGGGGTTGGGGTAGCTGGTGCTGCTGCCCCTTCAGGTGCCGCAGGGGCTTCTCCAGGAGAAGCTGCAAAGGCATCTTGAGTGCAGTTTTTTAAAAACAGAAATTAAAAGGATAAAGAGAAGAAAAATATAGTAAAAGAACCAAGTTAAATTGCATAGGAAGATACCCTTATACAACATGAATTTTTATTAGTATTTTTACTGATGCAAGATAAAGCACGCATCAAATTCTCAATCTCCCCCACCCCAACCCCACTCAATGTATTTATTTTAACTGAGACTACACATTAATACTTTGAGGTGGTAGGCAAGAGGTATATTAACATGTTAAAGGCAACAGGATTCTTATTGTATAAGGGTTCTGAGCAGCCTGTTTATGTAACATGAGAAGTTAACTAAAGCATGTAAAGTTTGGCAGTAAACTGATGCCAATTAAGATATTAAACATTCATGTTCAGTCAAATAACCTCAATGTATGTCTGAACAATAATTTATCTAGCATGTAACTTTTAGTTTCCTGAATATTCTGAGTAGCTAAAAGCTTGCGCTGTGAACTAGAATTTGCAGTTCTCTTATTGCACTACTGGCAGCATTTTATTGACTAGAATTTGTGAATCCCATTTATAGCAAAACCTCATTTGTGAGATACCGGTCAGTTATGTGGATATCCTGAGAAGTGGAATTTTAATTACGTATTGTAAAAAAACAGACCAGTGAATGGAAACTCAATCATTCTTTGTGATTAACTGTAATAGTTTAAAATATTTCTAATTCCTGAAAGGTGCTGCACTAAAACTTTAGCAGTTCAATTTTTTTTTGTAGCCTAGTCTTATAAAACATCCCAGGAACTGTAGTGTTTTCCCATGAGTATTGATACTCACTGGGCTCCCCAGATGGAAACACTCCTTTGCACTTTTCTATAACCCATCTATTTCTCCATATATTGCAGCTCAGCAGTCTAAATTCAGCCTTTATCCATGTATCCATTTGATAATGTAACTTTTAAAATTAGTCTTATAATTTTGCATGTCAATGTTTATTAAACCAATAAGGCCCTCTAAAATAATTTGTTAGAAAACATTAGCAGGTCTTGAGG